TTTGTATCACATCGGTAATTGAATAATATATACGTGTATTTTAAAAATTATAATTTTTTTTAATCCATACTTTTTCAGCATCACAACAACGACAACCATTAGGATAATACTAAATAATGCAGCAATAGAACTTAATAATATTAGAGCGACATAAAAGTAATAGTTGTACATATAGGGTATCCTGCAACATACATTTTATTTAATTGACAGAAATGCAAACGATGGCAAATTAGAAAAATTAGAAGTAAAATTATTTCTATGAATGAACAAATTTGATCACTGTAACTTACAAGCAAAAATGAGATATATATCGTATCGGATCAATAAAGCTTGCCAAGACGGTGGAACTCACTGCGATGATAGTAATTATATATTGTATGGCAATTAATGAGTAAACTACTTGTTTATTGTGAGCATAGTAATATAGTGGGTATGCTACAACACAAAGCCTTTCCGCGCTATTCATTAATAAACTCCATCCATTCAAAGAAGATACTATTAGAAGAAAGATGGGAAACTGAAATTTTATTGAATTCGTATTGGTAGTAATTTTATTTATTAAACTGCGGTCACAATTCAAAAATATGCATAGTAAATTTACTTGAATTTTTTTTTTTTTGGAAATGAATAAAATAGGATGATTTTGGAAAAAGTTTTCCGTAAAAATAAACAGACATCGAGCACGCAGTTATAATGACTGATATATTGTTCTTCAGTAGCAGAAATTATAAATCGTTTCGTCCCCGCTAATATAACACTCATTCCGGTTAATGCATTATTGAGGAATACGATTGCAAAAATCAGATAGGAAATTCTGAAATGCTTAAATTTCTCCAAAGGTTATCTGTGTGCTAATTATAGTGAAAATCTTAATGTTAGAAATTCTTCGATCTATTTGTAAATTAAACGTTATTTAATAAATTTTTCTCAATAATCATTATCATTATGAGATGAATAAGTTGACCTGAGTGCTTCACGCATCATCACAACGACAAAGACGGGAGCGTTGATCAAAATGAGCATTGGACCGATAATCAAATAACCGTACACATGCAAAGAAATCTGCACAGCTGATGAACTTTCAATATTCGTAATGTTTCCCCAAAGTGTAATCGCTGTCATGTTTACGGTAACACTCACTGAAATGTGTAGAAAAGCATAATGGAATTAAAAATTAACAGAGTGAATAGAAACATTCAATATTGCA